TCGTTGCCTCGTTGCCATCACCAACTGAGGTAATCATCTTCTAGAATATGATGTTGCCATGAACTTAAAATTATAATATTATACTTGCAACAATGATTCAGTATCATTATTATACTCTTGGTCCGCAGATTATGAACAAATTTTGTCATTTTCTTAGTTGATCTCTATCGTTTTCATAGACGGCGTCAATTGTGGAGGTAGAAATTGTCCCATATATATTAATCAAAGGATTAATGAAGAATTGAGTCATACTATTCTGAATCTGCAAAAGAATAAGTGGTTAGTGCCTCTTGACCGGTGGTTGCTGACCAGAGGGCACTTCGACGATCAAGTTAGATAGCATATATCTAAATGAATCTGAATAAGTAAATAGAATAGTTTAGACATACATCCCTTGGAGTTGAAGATTATATCCCTTTATATAGGCTAACTTGCTACTCATTTTGTCTAATGAGCTTAAGCCACTAATTTGGTCTAATGAAAATAAGTCACTTGTATGACCCAAAACCCACAAAAATGACGAAATGAAGGTCTCTAGCTGATCAAGTATAGCCACATATTGTTCATGCATAGTCACCCATGCCTCTACTCTACCATGATACCTAGAATCCATAAGGATGATAGAGTTCTTAGTATCTATGGTAACACTAGTACTCACCCAACTAGGCTTTCCCCATCCAAAATCTACTTCATAGATTGGAAACCCACACCAACTACTGAACCTCAACACCTATCCTTTCCCATTGGGATCACGTATCTTCCTCTAATTATTCATGAACACTTCAAAACCATCCTCACCTTGTCTTTCCCATACATAATCACCATCAATTTTTTTCATTGCAATCTTCAGCTTAGCCACCAAGGTAGCCAAATCTATTTTTCCATCCGAAACTGTCATCGCCATCAAAAAAAGATTGCCAAAACAATACTTTTGGCAATATCAGGACCATTCTTTTCCTTATATTCACCGGATGAAACGACATCAAGGAGAAAAATTCTTCTTCCATGTTAGTTCTGTTATTATCTCTACTCAAGTAGGTTACACCCCAGCCAGATAAGGTACAACTTCAACTTTTAGAGTAGCCATTATTGAAGCATTGAAAACCAATCTTCCATCAACAAGTCCTAGTTCTAGGATTCAACCTGCATGCTTGAAACCGAGTGGCTCTCTTGGTGGGAACGGAGATGCTGAAGTTAAACTTGGACACACCAAACTGGGCTTACCACGGGTAGTGATTGCTCAACCTTTGATGAATGCGCTCAGGGTGCACCCATCAGTATTCTTGTGTAAGATGCATAAACCGATTACTTTGCCACCGCAGTTGAATACGTTAACTTGGATGGCTAGTTTTTGTTGTTCTTCCTCTTCATCTATGCTCAATTCTCGGTAACTTAATTTGTTTGGAATCAATTGGTTCAACACATCAAGTTCAGATCGATCAATGATGTTCGAAACCTGGCTATCAACATGGGTTTCAGTGTAATCGACCCCTTTGTCATTGCAATCCATTGAACTCTAACATTTCACCCTTCCAGCCAGTGGATAGATGTAAGTGTACCAAAGATAGATGGCACAACTGGTTCAATTAAGGCAAGAGAAGAAGTTAGTTAGTTAGGATTGAAGTGGTTGTTGTATGTATGAGGTCAGCATGATTAGTGTAGTTAAAGAATATAGTTATAGCAATACATACAACTATAACAATATATATTGTATATAAAATATGAGCAGAGTCTGATATTCTTCAATAATAAGAATTGAATTATATATTTCCACATGGTATCAGAGTAATAAGTTCTCACGAGCAACAAAGCCTGCCCTTCCGTGATGTTTGATCTTGATCTGCGAAGTCATCGTCTATATCGTCTTCTTGCCATCGTCTACATCATCTTCTTCTTGATCTTGATCTTGGTCTGCTACATTGTCTTCTAGGGTTTCTCTGTTAGCTCATCTCTGTCACTCTTCTTTGTAACTCATCTTTTCAATTTGCTAGGGTTTCTCAAATTGATTATCATTTCTTCAAATTAATTGTGTGCTGTTCTCAAATTACTTGAAATTCACCATGACTTCTTCTTTTTCTCCTTCAATTCCTTCGAATCTATCTTTACTCATCTCAAATTTGTCCTCCTTCGTTACTATCAAGCTAGATGCTTCAAATTTTGTCATTTGGAGGAGTCAATTTCAGAACATCTTGCGAGACTTGTCTCCTTCGATTTGTTGATGGCTCATCATCTCCTCCTCCTCCATTCATCAAGAATGCCAGTGCACTACTACAAAATCATAAATAGATCACACTTTTTATGTGTGATATATGTTATTTAATCACACGTTTTAAGTTTTGTAAAAGTGTGGTCTTTGGGAGTGTGATTAAAAAGGGTCATTTTTAATCACATGTTTTGAGTATCATTAACAAATGATTTCATCACATGTTATGCGTGTGATAATAAATATTTAGATCACACTTTTTACGTGTAATAATAAATATTTATATCACACTTTTTATGTGTGATATATAATTAATAAAACCTGTGATAATAAACATTTAGATCACATATTTTAAGCGTGATTAATATCTAATAAAACATGTGATTAATAATGAGATAAGATCACATGTTATATGCATTTCTGAACATAGTTAATGCATGTGATAAAAAAAGGTTTGACATATTTGAAGAATAATCAATATTATTTTTGTATGCATTTGAAGAATGTAATACATACTATATACTATCTTTTGAATCACAACCATATATTGAATAAAATAACGTCATATATTTCATAAATGAAAGTTGAATTTTCAAAAGTATATACAAAGAAGTTAATAAATAAAAAAAAGAATTAACTATGATTACATATATTAAAAATATGAAAAAAATTGAAGCACAAAGTCCTTGAATTCTTTGATCATATTTTGCATCTCTCTAAGCAATTTCTGACCTGAAAAATGAAAACACAAATTAATTCAGAGTCAAAATTTGCCTCCTTTAGAAATACTTTTAGGCTAAAGGCAAAATAAAGGCAAGAAATTCACAAAGATGTGAGGTAGAATCAAAATAATTGAGATAATGTGGTTATTATGTTTTATGCACTTTGACTACAAAATAATTTCTGGGTAATGACACATGTGAAAGAAGAATAAAAATTGGATAGCCTTTGATTAGAGATATCCCAACCCACATTAAAAAATGATCTAACTAGAACAAGAGATATCCCAAAATCTTTTATGGTTGGGTTAGTTATCCATCCAAATATAATAATAAAGAAGGTAATCCAACCACAAATGAAAAAGAATGAATCAGCTAGGCAACTTCAACACAATTAAGGTCAATATCAAATGAGGACCCAAATGGCATACCTGATATGGTTGTGGACCCTTGTCATGAAAGCTAGCAACCAACAGTAAAACACCTTAAGGCCTTGCACCACTACACAAGAAATAGAAAGGTAAGAAATTGCAACAAAAATAAACATCTGCAAGAGCCAAGATCAAACCCATTGTATACAGAAAATAATAGATGAGGAAAAGAAAAAGGTACATGCACACACTCAGCAACAAAAGTAGGTAAGGGAATGAAAAGAAAAAAGCACTCCAAAAATTTAGAGCTCTCAACACTTAATGATCATAACTAATCCCAAACTGAACTATATACAGTCCACCAAAATTTAAAAAAAATATATAAAAATAAAATCAACACATGATCTTGATTTACAAGTAGAACTAGTATCAATCCGCAAAAAAGAAAAGAAAAAAAAAATAAAAAAATCAACACTTCATATTGATTTGCAAGTATGCTTCCAAATGTCATCAAAACCCAATCTGTAAAAAAATAAAAAATAAAACCTTTAATGTATTATCAATTACATCTAAACTCATATATAAATAATTTTATTTTATAAACTAATTTAACATAAATGCATTTTTTTAAAAAAAATTTGACTTTCATCTATCATAAATCACAAAACAACAACTAATCTAATTGGGGGGCAAGTTCCTACAAGTTATATGAATATCTATGAACTTGCCAATATTAAAAAAAATTAGGCAATGTGATCACTTTCATTATCATATAAAATGGTTCAATGAACTTGAAAATTGGAATCAAAGGTTAAGGGAAAGAAGAAAAAAAAGTTTTTGATCTATTAGTAAAAGGAGAGAGAGGAAAGAAAAGGCGGCGACATAGGTTTCTAAACTGACTAGAAGCGCTCCTAATCTTTAAACATAGGTTGTACACACACAATAACCAAAACCTCAACTAAATAGGCCTATCCCTGCAAACATAGTGGAAAAAGTAATTACCCTAAAAAGGCCAAATTCATTGAATCATAAAATAAAATTATCTAACAGTTGGCAACTCTGGCAATTGGCCCCCATTTGACATTGTCTGATTTTGTTGTTCTTCAACTAGTAAGCTAAGTAAGAATGATGATAGTGGAATCAACTTTAAAAATAAAAAATTAGAAGGATAAGACACTCAAGATATAATAAACTACCAAAAAACAAATTATGAGGACTGGTAAACATGAAATGTACATGTAGTGAAGCAGAAACAACTAGGAGACAAACTGAAAATAGTTGGGGATGGAACTTACAAGAAGTTGTCAATCCATTACTTTTGTTAGAATAGTAGAGAGAGAAAATAATATGTGGTGTATATATAATCAATGAATCAATACAATAGGAAAAGCCTGTATATATAACCCAAGAAACCAAGGTGTATAAGAATACAAGAATCCTAAGTATAATAGATAACAACTAACACCCCCCCCCTCTCTCTCAAGCTCAAGGTGGTAAGGCATAGATCAACTTGAGCTTGGCGAGGAGATAAAAGAAGCATCCTAGAAGATGAGCTTTTCTGAAGAGGTCGGCGGTCTGATCAGCAAATGTAATAAAGAGAAGACGAGCAGTGCCCCTAGTAACATGCTGGCGTATGAAGTGGCAATCTATCTCAATATGCTTGGTGCGATCATGGAAGACATCATTATGGGCAATCTGAATAGCACTCTAGTTGTTACAATAAAGATTGGTGGCAGCAGAATGAGAAACTCCCATATCAAAAAAAGGCCAACGAAGCCACGCAAGCTCTTGAGTAGTGTCAACAAGAACCCAATACTCAACCTCAGTACTAGAACGAGCAACAAGAGGTTGCTTCTTGCTACGTCAAGCAATGAGAGAGTTGCCCAAGAAAAAGCAGAACCCAGTAGTGGAACGACGGTCTATAGAATCCCCTGCCCAATCTACATCAGAAAAAGTATGGAGATGTAGAGAATACTAGGTGGACTACTGAAGACCATGAAATAGAGTGCCTTTGAGATAGCGCAAATGCGAATTAGAGCATCATAGTGTGGAGAATGGGAAACAACCATGAATTGACTAACAATGTGAATAGCATAAGCAATATCTTGACGAGTAACCGTGAGATAGACAAGACTGCCAACTAGCTGACAATATAAAGTGGCATCAGACAATAGGGAACCTTCAAGAGGTATAAGACGAGTCTGAGAATCAACGGAAGTAGTGGCAGTCTTGCAATCGGTAAGGCCAGCACGAGCCAAGAGATCAGAAGTATAGTTGGTCTGCCTAAGAAAGTAACCAGATGAATCTTGAGAAATTTCCAATCCAAGGAAGTAGCTAAGCAAACCCAAATCTTTCATCTTAAACTGGCGACGGAGAAACTGTTAGAGACTAGAAATACTCGCGGGGTCATCTCCAGTGATAATCATATCATCCACATAGAAGAGAAAGAGAATAGTACCATGCTTCGTTTTACGTATAAACAAAGTAAAATCATGGGCACTGGAGGAAAAGCCAAAGTCATGAATGATAGAGCTGACCTTCGCAAACCAAGCACGTGAAGCTTGTTTCAAACCATACAAAACATGACGAAGTTTGCAAACTTTGGTAGATGGAACAGAAGAACTAAGAGGAGGTTGCATATAAACTTCCTCAGTGAGATCACCATTGAGGAATACATTCTTGACATCTATCTGATAAAGACTCTAGTGGCGAGCAGCAACCACTGCAAGTAAGCTGCAAACGGAAGTAAGACGAGCAACATGAGCAAATGTTTCTTTATAGTCAATGTCATACTCTTGAGTAAACCCTCAAGCGAGAAGGCGAGCTTTGTAACGCCCAATGGAACCATCAGAATGAGTTTTGAGCTTGTAAACCCATTTGTAACTAATAGTACTCTTTCCAGAAGAAAGATCAACCACATCCCAGGCATGAGTTTTATCGAAAGCCTGTAGTTCATCAGTCATAGCTTGTTGTCAAAGAGGGTTAGAATAAGCTTCTTGATAGGAAGTAAGTTCATGACAAGAAAAGACAGTGGAACCAACAATATAATCATGAAGAAGAATAGAAGGTTTCCTTACCCGTGTGGAATGACACTCTAGTGGAGGAAGAACCTCAGCAGGAGAAGGTGTAGGGCCATCAGTAGACATAGGATTCTTAAGATAGACAATAGGCATAGGCGGCTATGGAATCATGAGTCAGAATTTGCATCAAAGTCATCAGAAAACAGGTCTATAGAGAGATCAGTAAAGATTAGTGAGTGCATAGACTGCGGTAGTTGAAACTTGGAAAGATTTGAGAACATTTTGTGTTCCCAGAAGTCCACATGACGAGAAATATGAAGTCGTTTGGAGATAGGATCCCAACAACGATACCCATTATGTTCTATAGCATACCCTAGAAAATAGCAAAGGCAAGAGCGAGGTTCTAGTTTAGTGTGTTCATGAGACTGAAGTAGAACAAAACAACCAGAACCAAAAACTTTAAGAGTGGTGTAGTCAGGAGGAGAACCATACAAGCGCTCGTAAAGGAAAGTATCAGCAATGAAACATGTGGGTACATGATTTATGGTGTGAATGGCAGTGAGGGCAGCTTCTCCCTAAAACTGTTTAGGACAAGAAGATGAGATGAGAAGAGCCCAAGTAGTGTAAAAAATATGACGGTGCTTCCTTTCCGCTTGTCCATTTTGTTGTGACATGCCTGCACAAGAGTGATGAGAGAGTGTACCATTAGCCCGAAGAAAATAAAGAAATTCAGAATCCAAGTACACTTTAGTATTATCAGAACGAAAGATTTTAACAGTACGAGAAAACTGAGTGCGGACCATGGCAGAGAAATCATAATAAATCTATTCATATTGATTTTTGAGAGAAAAAACAATCAAGTATAATGAGAAAAATCATCAACAAAAACCACAAAATATCTTGACCCCCCCATGGTCGGTGAGGAGGAAGGTCCCCAAATATCTGAATGCACAAGATCCAAAGGAGCAGTAGACATAGAAGTACTGTTATTAAAAGATAAAGGAAATTGTTTAGGAATTTGACAAGATAAACAATCGACATCTTCAAGACGAACATGACCTAATTGACCACTAGAAACTAATGTTTTCAAACGACTAAAAGAGACATGTTCTAAGCGACAATGCCAAAGGTAAAAAGAAGACATGGTAGAAGTAAATGCAACAGAGGGAGCAATGGGAGCAGCAGGAGATGATGTGTGGAGAGTAGCAATAAATGATTTGTGGGGAATGCGAAGATGGGTAAGCTCGAACAGACGTCCATACTTATGGCCTATCCCAAGGATCTGTCTCGTCTGAGGGTCTTGCACCAAACAACTATTAGAAAAAAAAAGTAACGGTTAGACCAAGTTCACATAACTGACCAACAGAGATAAGGTTCAATTGAAGAGTAGGAATGCAATAAGCATCAGAAAGAGGCACAGTGAAAGTAAAAATTTGACCAATGTGACGAACAATCATATGAGAACCATCAGCAGTGTGTACGATGAGGACAGAAGATGATGATGATATAGAAGAAAACATAGTGGAGTCAGAAGTCATATGATTACAGCATGCAGAATCAAAATACCATAGAGAATTACCTGAAGTCACTGAAACAGCAGTAGAGAGAGGGAGTATTGGATTTGGCAAGCACTTGTTGGATGATGGACTCAACATCATCCATAGAGAATGAATGAGTAGTGGAATCAGTGGTGTGGTGAGTGAAAGAACCCTCAGAGGCAACAGCAGCAGAGCAAGAACCTTGGCCAGATTTGGACTAATACCCGGACCTAGAAGACCATTTCATGGATGAAGTATTAGAAGAGGCTCGAGGACAATTGTGTTGGAGATAGCCGGAAGCAATCTTGTGGCAAGTAAAGCATTCGCAAACCTAGCACTAAATAAAAGAATGAGTCGCTGGTAGGCCACGGTTTTAATAATACTGGCATGAACTAGCGGGTTGTGAAGATGAGGAACTCTGTAATGATGGCGTGGCAAGAACATAATCCATATTATGAGATTTGAGAGTCCTAAAACAAGTCTCCTCTAATAATAGTTTAGTAATGGCTTGCTCTAAAGTGGGCAAGGGAAAACGATGGAACAATGAAGCACGCACGAGCTCAAAAGTGCTATGAAGAGCCATAAGGAACTGTAATAGTCGCTGATGATTTCGATGAGAAATAAACAGCTGTGCATCCTCAGAATATGCCCATGTAGGCTCAGAAAGAGCTAGCTGGTCCTGAGAAGACAAATCTAGGATAAGATTCATTGATAGATTGACTGGGTACTTGGCGCATGTGATGAAGAGTTTGCAACAGTTGATATTGATGAGTATGGCCAGTGGTCTAATAACAGTCTCTCAAGAAATTCCAAGTTGCTTTGGCAGGAGAAGCAATTTGAGCATCATCTTGGGACTGGCCAAACTGGAGATGAATGAAGGGAACTGAGGTAGCCCGGAACCATGTGATAATTTGATAATTCTTACTTTCCCATTCGTCAAGAGGGTCATTGAATGCAAAGTCAGTCTCATTCTCCTTCTGCTTGGGTTTGAGAAGAGCACCAGTAATGATCCGCCAAGTCGTTTCCCTTTGATGAAGCTAGAGAGAGCTTGAACCCAACTAACATAATTTGACCCATCAAGGATAACAGAGACAGAGTGGATGTGCTCAGTACGATCCATAATACTCAAATAGGGCCAAAAAAAAAAAAAGAATGTGCTTTATAGAGGCAAACTTTTCCAAACAGAAGACACCAACAGATTCAGGAGGTCGAAAATAGGTGGGATATGATCTGAATGGGCCAAAAACACTACCAGAAAGGCGGCAGATCGACTGGTTGTTTGACCATGTAGATGAGCCAAAACTAGGGCTAACATCATAGCAAGGGCAGTTGACGTTAGAAATGCACAGCACACGTTAACAGAGGTGTGCGCGGTGCACGATAGTAAGAAGGCAGCAATGTCGTACGGTCAACTAGGGCTGATGTCAGTGATGACGTCAAAACATGTGGCTCACGATAGCAGATGAGGCCGCAACGCAAGATAGTACGAGGCAGAAGCAGAGGCACGTGGAGGCGCATAGGAAATTGCACATGCGTGTTTGAGCTTTTGGCGATGCGTGGAGGAGCGTGTGGTGGCAAATGAAGATGATTCTGATGGCGTTGGCTTTGTCTTGAAGAGACGAAGAAGCTAGTATAGTCCAATCATCGAAACAGTAAAGGACGAGATATGTAAAAACCAATGCGAGAAGGAATCAATCTACTAAACAGGGAAAAAAAAAAGTGGTGAAGAAAAAGAGGAGGCTAGGAGAAAACCCTAGGCTCTTATACCATGTTAGAATAGTAGAGAGAGAAAATAATATGTATTGTATATACAATCAATGAATCAATATAATAGGAGAAGCCTATATATCGCCAAGAAACCTAGGTGTACAAGAAATCTAGGTGTATAAGCATACAAGAATCCTAAGTATAGTAGATAACAACTAACAACTTTGACACATTACCTAATTAACAGCTATGAGGGATAGCGAGGATGCAAATCACTGCTACTATTCCTTAACAAGTGATTGAATTCTATATCTTTAATTGACACCTTATTACCAATATAAGAACCTAAGAAAGATAATATCAAAGCATTAACAAATGGAACAAATGCCCTAAATTCCATCAAAAACTAGAAATTGACGAATTTAATCCAGTCAAATATTAGAACAAAAATGATCTTATCAAAACCCAACAACCTTAATACAAGAATTAGATTAACAAACAAATAGAGGATTCTAACAAGCCACCCAAAACTATACTTTTTCTCATCAAACATTCTTACCCACAACTCCATAGAAGAAAAATAAAAAGAGCAAAAAGTTAAATAAAACGGTTTCTGGACAAATAACAAAGAATCCGATCTAATTGAATAAACAAAATTGGACACACACAAGCATAAGCACATACATACATACATACAGACAGAGAGAGAGAGAGAGAGAGAATTTACAAAATGTAGCTTGATGCTTTTATGGCCCAACACGTGTAGGCTACGATTTTCAATCAAAACAATATGTCTGGATGCCGATAATGAAATTAAATCAATAACTAGATAATATATAAAATAAAATAAAAAAATCCCTAAAAATACATGAATTGGGTATAGAAAACCAAAAATTTCTTGTTTTGTTCTTCGATATGGCTCAGGCCAGCTTAGAAAACAACGAACATTTTTTTATTTTTTTTTTATTTTTACGAGTATTTAACCGTCTTAATTGCTCCATAATTTAGAAACGAGATGCTAAAGTTGAATGGTATGATTTGCTCTAAAATGGATATGACTTTGGTTACATGGAATATAATGAAAACCTTCAC